AGTGGAATATTATGAATTTACATCCCCTTACTCTTTAAGTAATGTACTTTCACCTGCATTCTATCATTTTATGGCAGACCTTTGCTGGCCTATGTACTTGCTTAAAGTATGTTGCACCCCTTGGACATCAACCCAAGATGTTAACTGTGTTTCTTTCCTCAGATGCTGCTAGACCTATTGAATACTTCCAGCCTTTTCTGTTTAAACAAAGTATGTTGAAAGCAGCTGGTTAACTGTAGTAAGGGGTGGGGAGGGGGGAATGCCACTAAAATAGCGAACTTGGAAAAAGAAAAATACAGTTTGGATGATCAGTTACCAGTTCAGTAACACTGACAAAAGTTAGCTACCCTAAAGGGTGCACAGCCGTCAGACAATGGCTACAGCATGCAGTGATGCAACAACTTACCTGCCAGAGGCAAATGTGTTCATAACACTTTCCATTGTGTTAGATAGCACTACTGCAGCTTAACCAAAAGAAACAATGAATCAACTGAGTAACTCAAAACTGAGTCATCATAAGTAAGATAGGTAAGGTAGAAGAATATTTAGTCCCTCAAGTCTGTTTTGCCACTCATTTAGCTAATCGCTGACCTGCACATTGATTACATTTACTCAGTTCAACTCTGCATGTCTCCATATGTTTACCAAGAAAGTATGATTAATCTCAGTTTTGATATTTTCCAATTGACATAGCCATAGTATATTTTTGGTGTTGGGGGGTGGGGGGAGGCAGTGGAAGAAGAGAAGAGCAAAAGGGAGTTCAAGATTTCCACTATCCTTCTGTTGAATAGCTTCTGGATCATTTTGAACTAAAAAAAAAAGAAAAAAAGAGTTTACTTAAAGGTTATGTCCCTCGCCTATTCACTTGAACCATACATGCAAACAAATGGGTGATATTTCTCTCACTGTTCCATTACCGTTTTGCAGCAAGTGAATATTATTCCAGTGGTAGAATAAAAAAGCTATTCCAGCAGCATCACCCAGCATATCACAGAATGAGCTACCAATCTGGTAATGGTTAACTGCATCAAAAGCAACATGCCAGTGAGAGTCATAGTTCCACAATGCTAAAGGTACAAGAATAGCATCCTAACAACCACTGGATTATCTATTGCCCTACAATAATCAATCAATCAATCAAGAATAGTAATGGAAACATCAGCCATTTGTCAAATACATTTCAATCCTCAGCCATGGTGAAAGAACATTGGTGCAAAAGATAAAGCAAGAAACTTTAGTCTAGAGTTGTGAGCAGATAATCTTATATTATGTCCCATTCCCTTCACCTCACTCTCTGAAGCTATAGATACAGTTCAGCCAGTTTGGTTTATTTTATATATGTGGAAAAAAGGCCAAGTTGACTAATAACAAACTTATGGGCTCAAATTATATCTATCCTGTGTTGCTGAAGATCTGTACGCCAGACAAACCTGCAATGTTAGCCAATGCGGTCATATGGAAAAATAGCCCTTCCAACAATGTGGAAAACTTTCCAGATTGCATTATATCCAGAAAAAGACAGGATGAGCTAAATCTTATACTTTTGGCTAAGTCCACATTGCATCAAGAATTTTTGGAGGGATTTCCACCATGAGGCCTAGCTGATTTCCCTGCTGTATCTTACCAAATGTGCCTCTCATTAACAACCTACATTGCTCCTATGGTGTACCTCAGGTCCAAATCCAGTCTCAGCTTCCCACACACCATCCTTGGAACAACACATCACTCAACTGATATTCAGTGAAAGACTGGCATTTGTTGCATCCATGCCATCTTTAAAAGGCCACAGTGCACCAGCTTTCTGAAGTTGCCCTGCTTGCTCACAGATTCTGAACATAATTTGGGGGGGGGGGGGGGGGGGGGGGGGGGGAGGAGGAGGAAAAAAGAAGAAAAAAAAAGGAGATCATACTATGATTCAACACTGACCACAGGTCCTAAGACAGAGGAGTGCCGTCCTATTCCCAGGGGACTGGCAGCCTGGTCTGAGATCACCACTCATGTCAGTACCACTTCCACAATGCAAAGGAATGACAATATGCTAATGCACCGACTTAGCACCAAGATTCCTGCTCTACTACTTTCATTTTTGCCTGCAATATATTCCCTCTCATTTTCACTCATCCCACCCCCAATATCCTGCATGTCCTCTCTGCTGCCTCCTCATACCCTTGGAGTACCTCATCACTTTTCACCAACCTGCATCAGAATTAACAGCGGAGTCATCCACCTTAACTCACCTCAAATCTTGCTTCTCTCTCATTACAAGAGAAGACAGCCTATACTAGTGCAGAGAAAGGCCTTACAGGTGGATAGGTGCAAGACACTGTTTGGCCATCTTTCCCTCCCATGCGTGGTTTATGAAGTGACTATGCCAAGCTTGGTCATTCACTGCTTCCCTCTTGAAGCGACAGTGCTCCTGACACCTCCTACACGATCTGTTCACATCCACGCTTATATCACCCCCTTGGAGATATTATTAATCTCCCGCTTACATCTGTCAGCACTTCCACCTTCCAAAGAATTATTTCCTTCCTGTGGCAGTGGACAACTTTGCCCCAGCCTCCCAAACCCTTTCCATGGAGTTTCTGCAGACAGAGCTGATGGACTGACCGTACCCCACTTTCTTGAGTGCCATACCTGGACAGCCCTAGACTGGAAGCGCCCAGACCTTTGATTGATCACTGCATATTTCCCTGACGGAGTTAGCCCTACTCACCAGACTGGGTGCAACTCACTCCGCAAACTGCAGAAGTTCAGACACCCTGACTAAAATCGCTTACTGGATGCCTGACGGTGGTCAATACCATGGACTAATATGGGAGGTTGCCCTTGATTAACTGTTTTGGATACCTCAACTGATGGATGCCTCCACGAACTTCAATAAGGACTGCTCCCACAAGACTTTGAGACATGGCTGCCAGCTTGCTGACCATGCAGTGTGTCTGCCACACAGGCTGCCAGCACATTGTGCAGGTGAGAGATTAGTGTACACTACTATGCAAGACGGAGCTTCGAGTGCACTGCCAGTCTACCAGAGATGTGCCATGATGGCTGTTAAAGGTTAACAAATGGCACACAATGTTCGTGGACAAGGGATGCATGAGACTAAGTGCTTGTGGATCATGTCCTACAATGCACTTTGGTCATACACAACACAGAAGTCCTGCCATGCAAGCAGCAAGCTGAAGCTGCCAGGTATCTGCTTGTTTCCATGTCAAGTTCTCGTGACATCGAACTTGTTTGGTACATTTGGCAAGCCAGAAAATGAGGACAGCTGGGCAAATAACAAAAGTCTTTTGGAAGTAATAATCCCACTTAATGGCAACTCACACTGCCTCACAAGAAATTGATCACATTCCTCGTGAAAAGCATAAAAGATGGAGCAAAATGCCCCTGACATCATGATGGGGCTTCAGACATCTCATCCAATTCGACCACAAAGTTCACCATAGCCCACAATGTCTGAGACCCCTGTAAAATTCTACATGATAAATTTTAAAGTCAGTTAACACTACTGGATGCCTCCCAATGAAAATGATGGAAGAAGTCATCAGTATAGTCCCCAACAGATATAATGGGTGCACTCATACCAACTAAAAATAACTTACCTGCTATACGCAATGGACGGCACATAACCCTATAGAATATGAGCAACTACTTGTTTACCCTTACTGCAAAGACTGATCCTAACAGCAATAAGGGATCCAGCATTCAGTACACAATATATGCCAAATTTACTGAGGTTAAAGTTCTTGAAAATTTGACTGTAAATGATGTGCATGGAAAGGGACCTCAAATCTGGAGCATATGGCATTATATTCCCAACAGACTTCCAATTTCAGGCAACTGCTAAATAAACAAATGCTCAAACTGGCTCAAGTAGCCAATTTGTTTGATACAACTACAGCCGAAACTCTAATTGTGACTTATCAGTTACCACTACCATTTTCCTAATATGGGCATCTGTCTAAGATAAACAGAGATGGTGAGTGCAGCATAGACTGCAGCACACACACCCAATAACTTGATCACAATCAGAATTCAACTTTCACCTGAATAAGCCAGCTCCAGACCACACCTCAAATTCATCCAACTTTGGAATTAATATTGAACACAGGAATTAAAAAAGTGGCAGCAGATAGTGCAGTAGGCCTCAACATCAAGGGTATGAGGTTTCATGAAAACACAGAAGTCAACAGGAAAACCATTTCATGCAGGAAGATAATTGCCAAAGGCTAGTCATGGTTCCAAAATTTTGATTAAGGAGTTCCTCAGATTAGAACTCTTTACGCTGATATGTTCAGCTGATTCTGTAGTGTATGCAGGAGAAAAGAAAGTGTACTAGGAAGTACATACCAATTGACACTAACACGTAACAACAGAAAACAGTAAGCTTGGGGTGAAGTTGCATTTTCCAGAAGGTACAATATAGATTCTAGTATATATATTAAAAAAAAATTAATAAAAAGAGAACATTGAATGTCTACAAGACACTGGCTAGGACACAGCATTCAGTTATAGGAAGGCCTTTATATTCATGATAGAGATTTTATAATTCACTGGAATAATCAAAAGTGAGAAGTTATAACTATGAAGAAAGCACAAAAGGCCCAGGTCTTTTGAAGATAAATTTACACAAGTGAAAAATTTTACTTCCTCAAAACCTAGTTTCCGTGGATTGCTGAATTTGTAACAAGATGCAAAAAAGAAAACTTTAATATTAAATACTGAAAAGATAATTTTGTTTTCACCATAAACAAGGAGTATTAGAACAAAGAACTGAAAACATACTCGCTCAAAAAACTGACATATTTAAGAAGAAATGGATAAGTATTTCAAAAAACAAAGAACATGGGATCAGAACAGTTAACTCCAGGTGAAGACCTGCATTGGCACATATCTGATGGCACAAATTACCTCCTATTGCACGGTGATTTCAACAATCTCATTACCAGTAGTAATATTTAGTAAAACATACATAATAAATACCACTTCCTTACCTAAATAGTCAGAATATGTTCCATATGCAAACAGGTTCAATAACTGAAAGTAGGCAGCATGTGATCCATTAGCCAGCTGGGGAGAAAGACTCAAAGATTACTGATGCTTACACTTTTAAAGTGAAAAAATATACAAGGTCAATTTGAAGCTGAAGTAGTACAAACTTATTGTGTTAAGGAAAGTTCTAAAATTCGTAAATTAACATTTTAATATGATGTTGATATTAATAAAAAACAAGTATTAGAAATTCACTGAAGTTCCACACTCCCAATCTTGAATCTACAGGAAACAATGTGTCACTTTCTTTATTTGAAAATTAACATATTTAGTTATTGATTTCTGGAATAATCTAGCTGACAAAATAGATAGAGATTTTCTAACTGTAAAAACAAAGGCAAAACTACTTTAGGTCTTGGATCATGAAACTCAAATATAATGGAAACGATCACATTTTCCGAGTATACTGAAATTGAAGGGGCTACTTTTCTCTGTGTAGAGAACACATCACTATTAGTCATTTGCCCCAGACAGAGTAGAAATAACTCACAATGACAGTTTCCAAAAAGTGGATAATTCATCTATATTGTAGCAGTGATATAATGATAGCTCATGACAAAATAAACATCTTTACTTTCAAAACAGAAGATTTAGCAGATTATCATTACTGTATTTAAACACCTTTGCCTCAGTTTATAGATCATAGATCACAGATCATAGAATCCCCATAGTGTGGAAACAGACCCTTCAGCCCCACGAGTCCACACTGACTCTCAGAGCATCCACCCAGATCTATCCCTCTGTAACCCACCTAGACTACACATCCCTGAACACTACGGGCACTTTAGCATGGCCAATCCACCTAGCCTGCACATCTTTGGCCTGCGAGAGGAAACCGCAGCACCCGGAGGAAACCCATGCAGACATGGGGAGAATGTGCAAACTCCACACAGACAGGTGCCCGGAGGGTGTAATCGAACCTGGGCCCCTGGCGCTGTGAGGCAGCAGTGCTAACCACTGAGCCACCCTATTTACTTACACTCATCAACACCAAACACAGAAGTCTTATTAGACATCCACTAGGATCCTGGATCTCAGCAGGAGATGCAATTACCAATGAAACAGAAAAAGAACTGTAAATTTTAAAAATACTTCCCAGTCATTTCATCACAACACATTCTACTGTGAACCTAAAAGGACATTTTGCTGCATCAGATTTTATGGCAGGAGTTGCTACGAATGTTAAAATCCCTAAATCTCAATTAAATGTGTCTTCGCATTGCCTAGGATTATTGAAAGACCATGGTTACGCCAAAAGAACATCCTGAACTTCATTGCTGTATACAGATCAAGAATGATAAATTACAAAACAACCTTTACCGTTAATCCTCTATTCCTTTGATTAATAATTTATATTATTTCTGTAATTGTGCACTTTATTGGTGAAAAGTATGACATTGGATTCACATAGTTTGCACATTTCATTTCTTTGCAATCCCAGTTTATCGAAGAAAGAAACATTTTGAACCCCCTCCATTTTTTATTTACTTTGTTTCCAATGTAAATATGCATTTCACACAATTGTTCTCCTAAATACCTCAAGTTACATAAAAATGGTTTAGTGAGAAGATGAGGAGGATAATTAAAAGAAAATGTCAGGACTAAATCCGGCTTTTTTGTTCTGTATATTTGCCTTAAGTGGAAACAACCCAAAGGAAAGATGCAATTAAAACTTCCATGGCTTTTGTAGCTGATGTGCTGGTATCAGGGTGTGCTCAAATGTAATAAGATGTCATCTTGATACTCAACCAGAACAGTCTGGCTAACATCTGAACTTTGCTAGCTCATGGGAAGTAGATGTATGAATATTAGTCAAAAGGGTAGTTCAGCTTGTTCAATGAGCTAATGTACATCAATGTGCCTACCAATGTTTATTCTAGATACTGGTCAAATGAAACAAGCACTTTTATTTATTTTAAGCTGATTGGAGTTTGTGGCAGGATTCATTTATTATTTCAGTTCTGTTTTCATTCTGTTATTTCTGCCAAGTTGTTTCTTCTGTTTGCTAAAGGAGTTAAGAAGTTATACACCGTCACATCTTTAATGCTGGCAATTGTTTCACCCCTCACCTAAATGGCTATACTTTTCCTTGAAACTGGCATTAAGTGGGGTGATAGACCAATGAGTGCATGAATAAGGCAACAAATTTCACTTAGAATTGGATTCCAAGCCTCATCTCAAACAATACTGGTGCAACGTGTTTGCTAAACATTGTAGTGCAGCAGGTCAGAAAGTCACCTAGAAAATTCAGTTGGTTCTGATACGCAACTAGTAACTGCAGAGTCCATGCATCTCCACAAGTATAATTCTCCTAGTGTACCTCCTATTGTTCTGAAAATTGTTCCTCCTTTGATGATCGAATTCTGCTCTGAAACCCACAATGCAACACTTGGGCAATGCATCCCCAGACCTCAATCATGTGGAAAAGGTTTTCCCCTCATGTCAACATTATTTTTATTGCTAATTACCTTAAATCAGAATGGTCTAGCTGTCCACCCTCCACCAATGCAAGGTTTTTCCCTGTCTAGTCTGTCAAAATCCCTCATTACTTTGAATATCTCAAACAAATCTCAACTTTCTCTTTTACAAGAACAACTACCTTAGCTTCTTCAACCTGAAGTAGTTCTTCATCCCGGGACTATTGCAAATCTTTCTGCACCCCCTCTGACACCTTCACATCTTTCCTAAACCGTGGTGCCCCGAAATGTACACAGTACGCCTGTCGAGGTCAACTTAGCATTTCATACAGGTTGACTGAAACTTCCTGTTTTTGTATTCAGTGCTCCCAAATATTTAAAAGGTGACACAGTGGCTAGTATTGCTGCCTCACAGTGCCAGGGACCTGTGTTTAATTCCAACCTCAGGCGACTGTTGCATGGAGTTTGCACTTTCTCCCAGTGTCTGCATGGATTTCTTCTGAATGCTCTGGTTTCCTCAGTCCAAAGGTGTGCAAGTTAGGTGGATTGGCCACGCTAGATTGCCCCATATACTGTCCAGGGATGCACAGGCTTGGTGGATTAGCCATGGGAAATGCAGGGTTATGGGGATACAGTAGGGGTTTGGATCTGGGTAGGATCTTCTGAGGAGGGTCGGTGTGGGCTCGGTGGACCTACTTCCACACGGTATGGATTCTAATGATTCTATACAAAGCCCAGGATCCCACAAGTCTTTTTTTCCAAAAACCACACTCTCAACCTGTCCTCCCTCCTTCAATGATCTGTGCAGTTATTCCAGGTCCTTCTGTGCTTTTACTGCCTTTACATTGCCTCTCTGCATTTTTCCGACCAAAATTAACCATTGCACTGCACTAAATTTAACGGCCCACTTATAGCCAATTCCACCAGGCAATATCCACTTGAAGTTTAAAGCAATTTTCCACACTGTGCACAATGTTCCAATGTTTCCTTTTTGTACAAATTCTGAAACTGTGCCTTCTACACCAAGGTCAAATAATTAGTACATAAAGAGGAGTAGGGACCTAACACCAAGCCTTTGGGCACCTTACTACAAAGTTTCCTCCAGTCTGAAAGACAACTGCACACTATGGTTCTTGTTCACAGCCAATTTTGCAACCATGTTGCTAGTGTACCTTTTATTCTATAAGCTGTCATTACGCAAGTGTACTGTGTAGTACTTTACAAGAACATTTTAAAGAAGAGCAGGAGAAGGTCTTGGGGCTGATCAAGTCTGCTGTCATTCAATATGATCTTTGGGCTTCACCTCCACTTTCTCAACACTTGCCCAAAATACTAAATTTGTCTCTCAAATGATGGAACATCCATAACCCTTTCATTAGTGAATTTTGAAAAATTAACAATCCTTTCAAGATTGAAATCTTGCCCTCATCAGTCCCAAATGATTAGCCCCTTATATCCTGTTTCCCAGCTAATGGAAACAACCATTTTCTAACCTGCCAAGCACCTTCATAATCTTGAATATTTTAATTAGATCTTTTTTTTATTTTTTTCTAAACTCCAGAGAATAACAAGTGTCCTTTGCGTCCAGGTCCAACACATCCAACCTCTTACCTCAAACTCAAAGCAATCTGCCCTTAAGAAATGTGAACTAGCCTTGCTTTGCATAATAATTCTATTCTGAATTATTATTTCTAAAAGCTTCCATTCATGGAAATTATATAATTAGGCTGTAGTTGCTGAGCTTATCCTTACACATGTTCATACACAAAAAGGTGCAGCTGAGGGAAAAAAAATTGCTCCTGTTGTTTGGCAGCCCTTCAAGTCTCTGAGCCTTTCTAAAGGTCTGTTGTTTCTGTTGAATTTGGTACTGGGCCTTAAGAAAGGCATTAAGATAGTGATCAGCATATTCAAAGGTCTAATATTTGCCTCAGGCAAGTGTCCTCTGGGGTTGATCAGACATGGGAAATTATAACAGTAAATCTGTCCCTTGACTCCTACTTTTTAACCCAGATATTGGGCACTATGGGGGTCAATTTCTTTCAATGACCCTAGGCAAAGTGGTGGAAAGCTACATCATCTTTTACATATCAGAAACCAGCTGATTGCATTGACAGTAAATACCCATGGATAAGCACTACTTTTCCTATTTAAAAATATCAGGGCACCAAATGACACCTTTTCATCTACAATCAGGTGGCACAGGGGATCATTATGAGCCATAAGGCTCACTATAACTTTGTCAGCTCTGTGTAGGAGCCATTCGTTGGTACCACTCCCATGTTCTTTCAGCATAACCCTACAAATGTAACAAACATTTATCAATTTACTTTTTGAAATGGATATACAAATCTTGCTTCCAACATCTTTTCAGACAGAGGGTAATCCAGATAACAACTAACTCACCAAAAAAAAAACTCAACTTGCTATTGATTCTTTTGTCAATTCTTTTAAAATCTGTCCCCTTTGGGTTAATGACTCCCCTGCCAGTGGAAACAGATCATCTTTAAGTTCGTACATAACCCTTCAGAATTTATTCAAAGTAATTTCTTTATTCTCAGTTGCAGTGTCTCAAATTCTGTCGTCTCTAGCCTTTGATTGCTGAAACCAATTACAGTACCTTTGTTACACAATTTAGAAGATTAAATTTAGGCCAGTATCATGTAGGGCAGTTACACACTAAGTCAAGAAGGATTCTCAATTAACCACTTAGAATAAAATGTAAAACCTTTTCAGGAAAGCCACAAAAACAGCTCACATAGTTCAGTGTACCTTTTTGTTTGTTTATTTATGTTCATATTACATACTAAATACTTAATATTTGAAATTAGTAAATAGTACACCAAGATTCTAAAGATAAGCATCTAAAAATTATTTAAGGTTTTCTGTGTTTTAATTTTTGCAAAGACTTGTAGCATCTAGGGAAAAATTAAGTGAAGTGTTTGTTGGTGCTGCACTCTTTCTTACCTCCTGTATATTAGGCGTTTCCAAAAGTTCACCAAAAACAAAAACTCCCGGAGCCTCTAATACTTGGCTAATAAGGGTTGTTAATGCTGGACCTTTTGCATTCCTGGACAACAAAATGAACTGTTCCAAAGGATTACTTGTAGGTTTTGATTCTCCTGCCATTGCACAAAAGGTGATTCACTGTAAAACAAAATGTTGGTATTTTAAGTTGCACTGGTGCCAAATCAGAGGATGCTTTGTACAGTGATACCTCAGTGAAGTACTGCAAGTTATCTATAGAGCTTTTCTTGGCCGCCTTTGTCCTAGTTTCTCCTGCAATAATGAAAAACTCAAATATAACCACAGATTAAATGTAAATCAGTTAGTTGTAAAAGAAATACGCTAATAAATAATTCCCAACCTAGTTTTTGAAAGGAAATATGTTGCTTTCCTAGTTGGTTTTCTTCAATAAACAACATTAAAGAAGAAATTCACTGAAAGGAATGAACCTTTACATGCCGAGAGAATTATATCAAAATAGGAGGAGGAGGTACTGAATATAATACATAGGGATCAGTGCTGCAGCCCATTCTGTTTCCAATTTACATCAATTGCTTAGCTTTTGAAAACCTTGTGACACCTGCACCACAAGAGTTACTCATTTTTGCAAGCTGACCTAATTGACAATGTCAATTGTGCAATTACAATATAATTTAAAAATAACATCCCTCCCACCTAGCCAGAAGGTCCAGGTTCAGTTCCAGATGTGCACAATAACATCTCTGAGCAGGCTGATTAGAAAATATCTAAGCTGAGGTAGGAAAAAGCAGCCAGGAACCACTAACAGTATGGGAGATAAAATTCACAACTATCAAATTCAAAACAACTGTAAAGTTCTACACTTTTTGCAGAAAATATGAATATCATTAGTACTCTGTGGATGATGCAGAAATAACATAGGAATGTATGACTTAGACTTGACAGTTAATACAGGAGCAATAAATGCAAACAGAATGCTCAGTTCAACTGCTAATTCACTTGAATTCAAGTTAGAGTCATACCAGAACTGTACAACATTGTAGTCAGTTTCAACCTTGAATGAGTGTTCAGTTTGTTGCTAAGACAAAAGAGAAAACCAAAGAAACGGTGGAGAAAATACAGATGATTTAATTAAAAGGAAAAGGTTGGAGAAATGGTTAGCCTTGAAGAATGGGGTATTGAAGAAATTCCATTTCTTTTGAAATACAACCTCAAAAATTAGAAAAATAGAAGCAATTGAAATGAGCAAAAAACACATTTGAAGCAGATCATAGGATATGCACCTGATCTTGGACTAATCTTCCTAGAAAAGTAAAGGCTAAATCCTTAGCTTCATCCAAAAGATTATGATGGAAAGACTGACTTGTATCTTTATTTTTATGACTACCAAGCACCTCAAAGCACAATACAATCAATGAAGTACTTTTCAAAAGTAATTGCTAGCTGTATTTGTTACATGACTGCAATCTATACACAGCAAACTCCCACAAATAGGTTGACAACCAGATAACATGTTTCTATCACAAAAACAGAAATTGCTGCAGGAACTCAGTAGGTGTGGCAACATTTGTGGACAGAAAGCAAAGTTAACATTTTAAATCCAGTGACCCTTCCTTAGAACTGGACTTAAGTGTTAACACTGCTTTCTCTCCGCAGATGCTGCCATAGCTGCTCAGTTCCTCCAGCAATTTGTTTAGTTTCAGATCTTCAGCATCCGCAGTCTTGTTTGATTTTAGAATATAAATTTTTCTATGCTATTGGACGAAAATTAGGACTTAGGAGGAGTAAACAATTCTGTCTTTCAAACTTGATGTGCTTTTTGACAAGATAGCTGCTAATTCAGTCGAAGTCTCAACTCCACTCATCTGTTTGCCACCCCAAACCCACCCACCCCCTCCACCCTGCAATAATCCTTGATTTCCCCCCATCAACAATCTAACCCAATTACAAACAGACTTCATGAAACAGCTTCCTCTGCCTTCTGGAGAAGGTAATTCCACAAACCAAAAACTCTCAGAAATTCTCATCTCCATCTTAAAAGAACTCATTCTTAAACTGTGCTTTGAGGTTCTAGTCACAATTCTTTTATTCAATGCGGATGTCACTAGCAAGATCAAAATTTGTTGCCCATCCCCAATTGCTTTTATGAATGGTTTTCTAGGTCATTTCAGAAGATAATTCAGAGTCAATTATATTGAATCGAGACTAGGGTCACACATAAGCCAGGTCAGGTCTAGGAACAGCAAATTTTCATCCCCAGATGTCATTAATGTGCTAGACGCGCTTTAATGGCAATCTAGGATATTTCCACAGTCACCATAACGGAGGCTAGCTTTCAGTTCAAGACTTTTATTAGTCAAATTTGAATTCCACCACCTGCCAAGGGGAGATATGAACCAATGACCCCGTGACCCCAGAGCATTAGCTCACCCCCTGGATGACTAGTCCCTGTGGCATTATGACTGCATTACTGTTAGCCCAACAAGAGGAAACATCTTCCCAGTATCCATTCTACCAAATCCCTCAGGACCTATATTTCAATATCTCTTACACATTCTTCTAAACTGCAAAGGGTAGAAGTACCAACCTGTTCAACCTTCCTAAGATAAAATCTTCATCCCAGGAATATCATACAAATCTTTGGAACTGGTTCTAACATAATTTATCCTTTGTTCACAAAACGAGATAAAATTGTATACAATACCCGTAATGTGGACTCATCAACACCCTGTACAGGCATAGTAAAACTTTCTAATCTTTTAGGTTCCATTCCTTTGCAATGAAGTCCAATATTTCATGTGCCTTCCTAATCACTTGCTGTATATGCATACTAGCCTTGTGTAACTAGTGTTCCAGGACACCACCTACACTACCAAGTATTGCAATCTTTCTCCATTTTAAAGATAATATTTTTAAAGTGGGCAGGTTCACATTTTTCTACATCAAACAGCATCCCACATCTGGCAATTTTTTTGTTGACCCACATCTAGATCTCTTTGTAGACTCCTTTTGACAACTTAGCTTCCAACCTTTCCTGGCATCATCAGCAAATTTAGCCACCATACATTTGGTCCCTTCTTATAATTAATTGACAGATTTTATTGTTATTCCTCAACTATTTACAAAGAGTGGTATAAATATCAGTCAAGACATGAGGAATAAAGTACCCTGCACATCTTAATACTGCCATAGGATCTTTTACATTCACTCAAATTTGCAGATGGGGCAACTGATTTCATATCAAATTTGAAAAATCACACCTCCTGACAGTATAGTGCCCTATCCAAACTGCACTAGAGCACCAATTTAATTGCTTGCAGGACATGATGAGTAACATGCAAGTTGTTCTTCATTCGGGACCTAGGAGGGAAGACAAATCAAAAAATGCTCTAATTGCTGTGAAAGGGTGTAAGAGTCTGAAAAGGGTCAATAGTGAAGAGTGCCTTAAATACCACCCATGAGGTCTCACAGACTTGGTGGGACAACAGCTTGGGATCTCAAAGGAGTAAGACTTATGATCAGTCATCCACCTGGCCTCTCTAACAATACCTGCTGTATCAGTGTAACTAGCACTTCATTGCAAACATGCAATAAACTAAAATCTTGTTCAAGACAAGAGCCTCCAAAATGGTTTTTCTTCTACCATGCCAGTCCAAGTAGGCACTATGGATCCTTACTCCAAAAGGAGATTGTAGCAGCAAACCTACCCCATGTGAGCAAGAGTGCAGCCTCATATAACAAGATTATTAATAGTGAGGATTATTTGTACTGCAGTGATATCATTTATCACTTCAATGGGCAATAGTCTCAACCCTATGAAGGGCTTACTGAGTATCTTTTTCTGTTAGCTATCTTTACACTGTCATTCCAATACAAATTTAGCATAAGTTTAGAAACTTCTACCAGAAGAACAAAAAAAAAACCCATTCAAGGGTAAAATTCACATCACTTAATAGTGACAAAATGTCTGGGAGGGTAGGAAGAAAACAGTACTGTATATGCAAAATATTCATAAACGTTTGTTGATTTTTAAAATAGGTCTGAGACCTGGACTGCAGGTCTCTCACGTATTAATTATGGGAATGATCAATTAGTGTTTTTCAATCACAGAATCCCTACAGTGCAGGCGCAAGCCATTCAGCCATCGAGTCCACACTGACCCTCCAAAGAGCATCCCACTCAGGCACACAGCTTCCTACCCTATCCCTGTAACCCTGCATTCTCCCTGGTTAATCCATCTAGACTGCACATCTTTGGATGGTGGAGAAAACCAGAACACTTGGAGGAAAGCCACACAGACGTGGAGAACATGCAAACATCACACAAACAGTCACCAGAGGTGGAATTTGTGATGATACTATCAATTCAAAAACACCCAGGACAAAATAACCTTTTAAAAAGAGAGGTTGTAAGGGCAGAGTGAACAAACAGGCTGCGGAAGTCAGCTTAAGCAAGTAACGTGTGAGGCCTTTAGGTTTTTTTATTTAAAAAATGTTGGAAGAATGGAAACAGCCTAAATGGACACAGCCAGCGCACACTAACCAGGTGTTTTTTTTTTACATCTGTAGCAGTGGGAAGCTGTTTGCGGTCTCAAGAGTTGAAAGTTTCAGTGAATGGTTCCTAGTTGCTACTTCCTCTGGAATTTCTCGATGTCTTTTCCCTCCTGGATTGGAGAACTGCATGTAAGATTCTGTGTCTAAATTTGCCTTTTTGCCAAAGGGGGTGTGTTTATGTAATGTTTCTATATTGGAACAATGAATTAGTAATAGGTACAGTACCTATCATTCGGTTATATTTTCCAATAGTTGTTATTCTAAATTACTGTCTGTCTCTTTTGTTTGTATTTAGCTATAGCGGTTAAATAAAGTGTTTTGCTTAACTTCACATCTACTTATAAAATAAGAAAAGGTTAGCACCTCGGCTACCTTTTTAAAATATTTTGAGGGGTCTGGTCTGGTCCATAAATCGAAACCCAGGTCCCTGGCATTGAGGCAGCAGGGCTAACCACTGGGCCATCATGCCACTGATGAACAGTGATGTAATAACCAGAGTTCTCAGCTGTAAACTTATTTGTGCACTTGTGTTTGTTGGGGAAATAACAAATTCCTTGCAGCTTATAAACAGGAACAACTAATCCCTTTCGTTTACAATTTTTACTACAA